AAAAAAAAAGAGTTAAAAATTGCATAGTATAAATTTCTCCACCGTGATAATTATCATTGCTCCACTTAATTATACAAACTATAGAGTAAATAATTATGTGATTAGACTTAAAACAAGCAATAATGATCATCACCGTTAACGACAGAAAGTGAATCCTCCATCCTTGTATTGTCTTTATTTTTTTTTTTAATGATAAATATGGTCCTAAGTGGCCGGGACAATACACGTAAAAAGAACAGATAATTATTATTTTTAATAATTTCTTTAAGCCAAGGGGAGCGAGAATTTATGCGATTGTACGTGTTCCCTACCACGACGAGTTGATTGATCTTTAAAGGAAAAGAAATTGGTTTTGGAAATGAGAATTCAATTGGAAATACGAGTGGATAGAACTCTCTCTCATTATCATGGTAGGCCTTTACGCGTCTCTCTCTCTATATATGTCTATATACACGGTGTGTATATATATATATATATATAGGAAAATAGTAGAAAATAAGTCAATATGAAAAGCTTAAGAAAGTATATAGGCTATTTTTTAGTTATAGAAATTAATAGGTCATAATTTGTTAAGTTATGGTTCATAACCAGATAAATTATGGACAAATTTGTCAAGTTATGGACGAAAACAGTAATTTGACCTATTTATTAACTTATATAAATTATTAGCCTATTAATTTTAATTCATCTTAAGTCTTGACGTATTTTCTTTTTTCTCCCATATATATATATATATATCCATTTTCACACTGACCCCCATTCAGTGCACCCCAATCCTTTCTGCGTCATAGACTTTTGTTTTAACACCAATAATTCACGATAACAACAGACTAAGACCTCTCAATTTTATCTCATCTCTCATTTTTCTTTTTATGTTAACCGATGATATAAGATAATGAAATAATTATATCATTAAGAAGTGAGTAATACGTTTAGGAAAATATTCACTAATTAAGAAGTCACAGTTTACCTATAATATTTGTTTATATTAAAAATCAGCTGGATACGCGTATGTTATAGTTATGCCGCCGTAACATATTTGATGCAAGTCTTCTGCATTATTGACCAAGCTTGTAGTTTTGTGAAAAATACACTAATTAATTTACAAGGCCTAACTCAGTTTCATGTGCAGCTCTTATTATTAGCCCTGAAGCAATCACGTCACTTTGTTCCAAATATATAATATTTAAGGGAATTTTAATACTTTTTTTTTTTTTGTTAAACGGAATAATTCACTATACGGAAAGTGTTAGAAATGAATATATTGAATATGGACCATAAATTTTCTGAAAACCAACCAACTCAAATTAGTCGGGGCTTAATGTGAACACGTGCATTTCCTGCAAATACGCAGGTCCTAATTTATTTGCTTAAGTAGGGACGTTAGACGTTTGTTTTCTATATTCGTCTCTGATTCTGAATCATGATTCATGATTCTTTACAGTATTTTTTCTCATAAAAAATACACGTAAAACGAGAATGGTTATAAATCATGAATCTGAATACATAAACCAAACGTACTCCGACGTTTGGTTCATGAATTTAGAATTATGATTTAGAACCATTCTTATATTTACGTGTATTTTTTATTAGAGAAAAACACTATAAAGAAATATAAATCATAATTCAGAATTATGAACGAATACAAAAAATAAATATCCTCTAAAAAAACAGTATAATGTCGAAATAATTGGTGTTCCTTTTAAGGATCGCCGGAAATTATAAATTTGGCGATGATGTGGCCGTACCACTAAAAAATTATGCGCTCAAATCCATAGTTTTCTTTTACCTTTGTTAACAAACAAATTGGCGTTTTCCTTTTCCTTTTTCATGGAGGGATTGTGTTGAGTATATTCGTAACTGTTTCCATATAAGTGAAGGCCATTAGTTTTACCAATCAAATTGCTCTGTTTTCTATCTATTCTTACAGGAGTTTTAGTATGATGGGAAAATATCCAAAACAATCCTTGTGCTTGATTTATTTTGCCTCTTTTACAGTCCAAATATCTCAAATACCCATGTGTTTCTTAAAAATGCCATGTTTATTCAGTTTCTAATTATTCTTAGGTTATTTACTTTTCTATACCCTACATTTTAGGTTTAATTAGAAAGTATAAATTTAGTTTTTGATCTCATCAAAAGTATACATTTCAATTCTATTTAATATACAAAGTCATATCTTATACCGGTCAACACTTGATTATGACCTCAAAAATGATCAAAGTACCCTTAAAAATAACAAATAAAACTTTTTAAAAGAAGTATATGAGAAGAGAAAAAACCATTTTTTTTTTTTTAAGATTTTTAAAATTTTCTCTTTCTTGTATTTAAGGGTATTTTGGTTATTTTTGATGTCATAATCAAGTGTTGACCAGTATAAGATATGAATTTGTATATTAAATAAAATATGAAGCTATATTTTTTATGAAATTAAAAATTGAAGATACACTTTTTAAATAAACTTAAAATACAAGGTATAAAAAGATAAATAACTCTTTATTCTTATAGAAGTTTAAGTATGGTGGTAGAATTCCACGTTTGTGTTTGATTTTACAAACAAGAGGATAATTTATGGAGTTTTACAAAAAGACGGACAAAAAAGTGGTATTTTGCCTAAACAGACAGGATAGTTTGAAAATATTTTCTCACAAAATATTTGAAATAGTTTGAGTATCTTAAGGCTCGTTTAGTTCGCGTGTTTCAAAATATAATTCTATTACAATACTTTTTTTTCATAAAAAATTATCGCTAATGGGTTCTCTCACAAAATGTGAATGCAGAATTAAAATCATTAACTTAAATGCGTGAACCAAACGAGCCGTTATAAATTTGATTGATCAAATGTTGAGTAAAAGTTAATTTTAGGATATTTTAAAAAATATGAGAAATAAATAAGATATTTTGAAGAAATACGCGAGACATTTTAAGAATTTTTATAAAAGAGGGACAAAAACAATATTTTAACTAAACGCATGGGGTGTTTTATGTATTTTTTAGATTTTTAGGTCATGTTTATTTCACAATTCAAGTCACAACTTAAATTTTATTGTTATAGTGTTTTCTCTCATAAAAATTTAAGTTTATTTTTTTCTTAGATACACAACTTAAATTAAGAAATTGAGTTGTAAAACAAACATATAATCAGATAAAAAGCAATAAAAGAGTTATATATATATATATTATTTTTCTAATATTATGAATTAACATTCAAATTGCTAATATGATTCCGTTGAAAATGATGGGAAAAGTTTGACAAAACAAAATTATAAGCCAACGTCATTTTCATAGGCCTTTTTGTTATTAACAGTGCAACAGCCGCTTGTTTGACTTGAATTGACCTTTACATAACAAATAAACCCCCAATTTCTTATCTCACACATGCCAGTCTCAAAATAATAATAATAATAATAATAAGGCAAATTATACTGTAAAGTGGAACCCTCAAAATATTTTCATCAACAGGGCACTTTTTTTAATTGTTAGATTAATTTTTTAATAATTAAATATGTATAAATTTATATTTAAAATTTATAATGTGTCATAAAATTATTATTTTTATAACTTTAATTATTAAAAATTTAATTTAACAGTAAAAAATAACGCTCCATTGATGACGGTGAAAGCATTTAAGAGGTTCTATGACAGAGAAAACCTAATAATAATAATAATCATAATAATAAAGAGAAAAGAAAAAGAAATGTTTTTTTTTTATTTTTATACGCATTTTTTTCAATAGACCCCATTATTAATAGTGTTAATTTTTTACTGTTAAATTTAATTAAAATCATATTAAATTTAAATAATAAATAAAATATATAATTTTTTACTACAAATTTAATAACTGAAAATTAAAAAATCACCACTAATTAATTTTTTTAATAATTTATTTTTTTTTAATCCTGTTAGAAAACTTCCTTTTATAATAAAGCGGAGAGGGAGAGAACGAAAAGGACGATGGCAAGGGGGTCTGTACTTTACTGTTCACCCCTTTGAATCCAAACACCCCAAAACTTACCTCCGCATCCAAACAACCCCCCAGGTACAAAAAAAGAAAAAAAAGGAAAACCCAAAAGAAAAGGAGGTAAAAAAAAAAAAAAAAAACCAGAGGAAAGAAAAGGCGGTTTCCGGTTTTGTATATTAGGTGAGAGAATATTACATGGAAAGCCCACTTCTTTGGTCAAATACATTGCATGTGGGCTATGCTTGCGTGTATCATACTATACCGAAAGCCTCACTCCTCTCACAATAAAATCTTCCAATAGACCATTTCTCACCCTTCATTTCCTGTTTTTCATCATCTTCTTCTTCTCCGTCTTCTCCGTTCTCTCTTTTTGCCCTATCTGATAGGGTTTTCCGTGTCCTCCTAAGCTCCGATTTCTCTCTCTCATGCATCCCTGCCTTGAAGAAGCCATAATCGTCGCTTTGGTTGCCCTAGTTCTCTTCGGTTCTCTCTTTTTTGCCTTCTTTGGAGGGTTCTTCGCTGGAAATCTCTGCACTTTTGACCTCCCGGTGTTTTTTAAGCAGTATCCATGTCGAAGATCTTTGGTTTCACCGGTGAGTCTTCGGATTCCATGCGTATCTCTTTCGAATTTCATGTTTTTAGCCTCTTTTGTTTTAATTCTGGGGATGTTTATGTGATAGGACTATAGATCAGGTGTTGTTGACTATTTTTTTTAGATGTTTTCGCTTGTTTATTGGATGATTTTGGTGGTTCGTGGAATTTGAGTCTCATGAGTTGAGTTTTGTTGTGAAATCTTGGACATAGGTGAATAAAGTTGTAGTTTTTTCTAGGATATGCGGTTGATATTTATCTTAGTTATTTAGATTTAGATTACAGAGATAAACTGAGGCTGATGGTTTATTTATCTGAAATCTTAGAAGATGAGGTTACTTGTGATCTGTGGATGTTTATATGGTGATATAACTATGTTGAGCTAGGAAAATATGCAAACAATGGATATATGATGCTTCTTTTTGTTTTTGTATTGAATGGGTCATGAGAAATTTCGGTTGGAATGTTTTTTGATGAGCAAGTTTTATTTTTGATTTCTCAGGTAATGATGATTTTTGCCCTGGGGGGCCGATATATTCAAACCCCAAGGATTCCAGCCTCTTTTTGTCCCTTGGTAATCATGTGGATGTTTATTTTCCTTCTCGGAAGAGATCTCGCATCAGTGCTCCATTTGTTTTCTCTGAAGAGAGGCTTCAGAAGAAGAAGAAGGCATCTATTGATGTTCTCCCGGATGAGTGTCTCTTCGAGATCTTTAGACGGTTGCCTGCTGAGGAAAGGAGTGCTAGCGCCTGTGTATCAAAGCGCTGGCTTATGCTTTTGAGCAATATCCGTCAAGAGGAATTATGCAGCGAGAAAACTTCCGCATCTTTGAAGTCTGAAGATGATATTGCCGAAGAGAAGGGTGAGGATCAGGAAATTGAGACTCAGGGATACCTCTCCAGGAGCTTGGAGGGGAAGAAGGCTACAGATGTTAGACTTGCTGCTATTGCGGTTGGAGCTGCTAGCCGAGGAGGATTAGGGAAGCTTTCAATCCGAGGAAGCAATTCTGGCCGTGGGGTCACAAACCTTGGCCTCAAGGCGATTGCCCATGGATGTCCTTCTCTAAGGGTCCTGTCTCTGTGGAACATGACTTCTGTTGGAGATGAAGTTCTATGTGAGATTGCTGACGGATGTCATCTTTTAGAGAAGCTTGACCTTTGCCAGTGCCCAGCGATTTCTGACAAGGCTTTGTTTGCTATTGCAAAGAACTGTCCTAATTTGACCGAGTTAACAATCGAGTCATGTTCAAACATTGGTAATGCAGGCTTGCAGGCTGTTGGACGGAGCTGCCCCAATCTGAAATCCGTTTCAATAAAGAACTGCTCCCTTGTTGGGGATCAAGGAATCGCAGGGTTGGTATCATCCACTTCTTTTGTCCTGTCAAAGGTGAAGCTTCAGGCGTTGAACATCACTGATGTTTCTCTTGCTGTTATTGGCCATTACGGCAAGTCAATTACTGATCTTGCTCTTACCAGCCTTCCTGCTGTGAGCGAGAGAGGCTTCTGGGTCATGGGCAATGGCCCGGGGCTTCAGAAGCTGAAATCCTTGACAATCACATCCTGTCAGGGAGTAACAGATGTGGGGCTTGAAGCAGTAGGAAAGGGTAGCCCAAATCTGAGACAGTTTTGCCTTCGCAAATCTTCATTTGTGTCTGATAATGGATTGGTCGCTTTTGCGAGAGCTGCAGGATCACTCGAGAGCCTTCAATTAGAGGAGTGCCACAGGATCACCCAATTTGGGTTTTTTGGTGCTCTTGCAAACTGTGGTACAAAATTGAAGGCTCTCTCTCTTGTATGCTGCTTGGGTATTAAAGACCTGAATGTGGGTTTACCTCAATTGTCTCCTTGCGAATCTCTGAAATCGTTGTGCATTCGTAACTGTCCTGGTTTTGGTAACGCTAGCCTGAATGTGTTGGGAAAACTGTGCCCTCAGCTGCAGCATGTGGACTTTAGCGGGCTTGAGGGAGTAACAGATTCTGGCCTTCTCTCTTTCTTGGAGAGCTGTGAGGCTGGCCTGGCAAAAGTTAATCTTAGTGGCTGTGTCAATCTGACAGACAAGGTAGTTTCAGCAATGGCCGAGTCTCATGGTTGGACTCTTGAAATGCTAAATCTTGAAGGTTGCGTGAAGATAAGTGACGTGGGCTTGGTAGCTATTGCAGATGACTGCCCTTTGCTCAGCGAGCTTGATGTCTCAAGATGTGCCATAACCGATTTCGGACTTGCAGCCTTGGCCCGTGCAAATCATCTCAACCTGCAGATCCTTTCTTTGTCAGGCTGCTCTTTGATAACAGACAAGAGCATGGCTGCCTTGGGAAAAACGGGACAGACTCTTGTCGGGTTGAATCTCCAGCACTGCAAGGCAATCAGCAACAGCACCGTCGACCGGCTTTTGGGCGAGCTATGGAGGTGTGACATCCTCTCCTAGACGCCGAGGAATTTGATGATCTCCCGTGGCAAACAAAACAGAAGGGAGGAAAAAAAAAAAAAAAAAAAAAAAAAAAAAAAAAAAAAAAAAAAAGGGGACAAAATTTTTATACCGTTTTTGGGTCTTTGATAACAGACAAGAGCATGGCTGCCTTGGGAAAAACGGGACAGACTCTTGTCGGGTTGAATCTCCAGCACTGCAAGGCAATCAGCAACAGCACCGTCGACCGGCTTTTGGGCGAGCTATGGAGGTGTGACATCCTCTCCTAGACGCCGAGGAATTTGATGATCTCCCGTGGCAAACAAAACAGAAGGGAGGAAAAAAAAAAAAAAAAAAAAAAAAAAAAAACTAATCAGAAGGATGCAGAACTTTAGTCAGCTTTTGTGAGTAGCAGCAGTTCACGTTTTCGGGTCCATTAGCTAAGGGTCTTTTGTATTCCAGAGTCCGGGTTTCCTTTTCCAGGGAGGGTGGCCGTAACCCCTTTTTTGCAGGTTTGTCGCCGATGGCGGAAATCTGTTAAAGTTAAAGTGTTTTTGGCTCTCGGTAACGAGATGCGTTTTTTCACGGCCTATTTCCCTGAGAAGTCCTCTTCCGGACACTGGATCTAGGTTCCTTTTTCGATTTGTACTGGTTTTCTCTTGCTAGGTGTTGGGGCCTCTGTTTTTTGCTTGCCTTGCATTTGTTTATACATCAAGTGCTTGTGCAAAAGCTGTTGTATCCTTGGAAGTCCTTACTCCCAGTTTTAAGTCTTTGTCGTATCGTTGGTTTTACCGAGTCTTTCACGTTTTTGAACCCCTGTGGTTCTTTACGTGATGGTTGGGTCTTTAATCTTTTATTATCCTCATCAAAAGGGTAGGTTGAAAAGTTCCTGTGGAGAGTATTATGACTATTCAGGTTGCTTTTGGCAGTTGAAATTTTTGGTGCCTAGTGTTTTGGGGCTTTGGCCATGGCAGGCAGATTATATGCAAGTCTGCCATGACAACCCTCTCCTTTCATGGGGGGGGTTGTTTTTTCCTCCTTCACCAAAGCCCCTACTTTGAGGCTTCATTTGTTCATGAACTGTTGTACCCTGCAACCATTGTTATTATTTTGTAATGACCTGGCTATCTACCTTTTTTCGTTGTATCTTTTGAATGATGAATAAAATTTCTAGTATTGTGTAATCTATTATCTATTTAGCTATGCTGCTTCAGAATTTTGCTCTCTTTTTTTTTTTTTTTTTTTTTTTTTTTTAATTACAATACGAACCAGCAATCTTCTCTCAAATTTCATCCCAGTCAACCTAACTCGTTTAATATTTTAATTTCTGATTTAAGTTTTGTTTAGTCTAATCTCGTTTAATATTTTAATTTGAGTTAGAGATGTGTTTTTAAAAACTCGAATCAGAAAATTCTTTCTTATTTTTTGTCCGTTTAGTTTGTTAATTTAAGTTTTTAATTTAAATTTTTAGTCCGTTTAGTTTGTTAATTTGAATTTTTAATTTAAATTGAGGTGTGATTTTATGTTTAAATTTTTTATTGTAATAAAAAAGTTAAATGTGATTGTATTTTTAAAAATTTTTTATTATAATAAATTTTAAATTTTAAATTTAAATCGAACGAAATTTTTATTTCGTTTAATTCAAAAATAGGCTGTAATCCCAAAGTTACTTTTAGATGGACGGCGGATCATACAATTATTGATGATGTTTATAGTTGAAATTTTGTGCCAAGGACACAAAATCGTACACGGGGTTAAATTCATTGCATCTTGATAGAGATGTAAATGCGTTTATTACTTTTAAATGATTAAAAAAAATGATGTGAACGTGTCTTCACGAGAGCCAAATATAAAAAGAAAGCTTAGGTCTCGCTTTACAAGGAAGCTTCGTTCTCATTCATGAATCATAGACATTTCACAATTCAAGGAAATATCATGAATGTGTGAATTCCTTGAATTGTGAATGTATCTTAAATTAAAATAAAAATAAAAGTGAACATTTTGAAAACGTTGGCTTGAAAGTTTGGCAGTTTGTGGGAGGGCATTCAGGTAATTTTGAATTAAAAATAATCCTAGTCAAAAAGAAGCACCAAATACAGAGAACTTGTGTGGAAAAGAATCTCTTGGAGGGCTGCAAAGTCGCATGTATTTGTTGTGTAATCAATAGTGGCTGAACTGGGAAAATCTTGTTGAAATAGTATCCTAGTATTTTATCAAAAAGATTCGGTGAGCAGAATTTCTTTTATGCAAGTCCATCACCAGTAGGACTTTGACGGGATTCTATTTTTGTTTTTTAATTTTAAAATTTTGGAATAAGTGCTTGGTTGCCTCGAAAAAGCAAATGGAAATTCCTCAAAAAAAAAAAAAAAAAGCAAATGAAAAAGATCGTGTTTTGCAAGAGTGTAATCCAACAGATATCATCAAATATATCACGCCTCAATCCCATGTGAGATTAGTCATAATTTAATCTGATAATCAGATTTCATCAAATCTGATCACGTTTGAAATGGGCTTGGCCCATAATCTGGTCATGACATGAGACAACAATATAATAGTAACTAGGGAAATTTTCAAAAATGCAATCTACAGAATAACATTATTTATTTCTGTTGTTAAATTTATTTTATGCCACTAATAATTTGTAAGTTATTTTTTTCACAAGCTGTAAGTTATTTTTCGTAATTTACAGGTTATTTTTTGTAATCTGTAGATTATTTTTCATAATTTATAGGTTATTTTTTATAGTGACATTAAAATTTATGTAGTGATATAAATAATAAAGTTGAAAAAAATGTTTAAACTTAGAAATTTTTCCAGTAACATTACAATCCGAAAAAAAATAATAAGAAAATTTTTAACGTTTGGTATGAGGATTTGTGTCATGGTTCAAATCATAATTCGTAGCTCGTTACAGTGTTTTCTCTCATAAAAAAACCCACATAAATCAATAATAATTCTGAATTATAGTTCTGAATCCATGAACTAAATATCTACCGTTGTGGTCATAATTTTACCATCTCTAAAACAGCCATCACAATTGTACCCTGAAATTGTAGTAGAGGATATGGACTCACCGTTCTTTAGATCCCATTCGGTATTAGATGCCACCTGGATAGACCAGATCTATAAGGATAAAACAATGATGTCCTCTTTTCAAAAAGAGAAAAAAGAAAAAAAAATTATTGCCAAGAATTATATTATTACACACAACGGAACTAATACAACCGCCATTTTAGTTTGCATACGTTACTCTAACGGTAAATAGTAGCTTTGAGAGAATATTGAAATGAAAAATCTCAAACAAGTCAATAATAATGTTACAAATTAAACAGGGGGCCACAATTTTAAGCTGCCATGAGTTAAAAAGTCCATGATATGGTATTGCATCTTTGTATGGGTCCATCTCTCTCTCTCTCTCTATGACAGTGGAAAATAAATCTGTTGGGACAATTAAAATATGATACAAGTGAAGAATGCATAACTGTCACATGCATTGCATTAAGGTGGTTTGGAATCAAGGATTTCTCTTTTCTAAAAGTATATAATCAAACAATAATTACAGATGGGGAACGAGTATCATTTATCTCATTTATTTGCCTTCTCCTTTTCAGGTTGAAGTTGCACCTTTTCAAGTTGTCACTTGGCAATGTTTTCAAGACCTCTACTAACGTGTCTCACCCATAACAAAAAAAAAAAAAAAAAAAAAAAAAAAAAAAAAAAAAAAAAAAAGAGGAGAAAGACCCTTACCAACGTAGTTTGTTGATTTGTTAATTTATTAGGTAAGTGACCGCCTTAATATGTATTAACTATTAATGGAGAGAGTGAAACATGATATTTGTTTTATGTGATGATTTTTGAAGGTGTGACGATAAAGTATGTACTCGTCACACATTGTTACACCTCTTATTCAAGACGTTACAGACCTTTCAAGAATGACCGAAGACAAACCGAACTGTACTGATTATGCCTTTGATATCATCAATTAGTATATGAAAAAATATCAATAGCCTTCTCAAAGTGAAAATGGAGGAGAATTCGACGCATTCAGAGTGAAACTGAAAAAGGGGCAGGTTTTTTTTAATTGAATTCGAATAGTTATATAATTGAATTAGTTTTGCTTCTTGCCTTTCATTTCATCGACAAACGGAACGACAATGAATGCAGTTTCTGTGATCTATACAAAATAGCTCTTAAGAAGTTTGGTTGTGATTATGGCATTTACTCATTCCAAGTATAGGCGATAAAATAAGCATAATGAGTGTCCACAACACAAAATCAGCCTTCATTGACTAACAATTCCCAGTTGTTCAACAGAATACGCTTAGAATACTTCCAATCACGAACTATATCTACTGAGATTTTACCAAAATTTCCCAATATTTTCGATATTCCGGCAGCCAAGGCAGAGACTAAGACAACATATAAATTAGATCACAACCTTGCAAATAGTTACATACGATGCTGCAAACTAGAATGCAGAATACCAATGACAAGACCAGCAACCATGAGAGCAATCAAACAAAATAACCAATGCTGCTGACTATGGACAAGATTACATCACAAACCATAAAGCAAATTTCTTCATGCCTTGTTCTTCCAATAATTGCAGTTTCTTTCCCTTCTTATTTCCATTACAGGAGCCATTCAAAGCTTTGTATTTCTGCATCAAATTTGTCCTCGGTTTTTTGCTCAAAGCTCCTATGCTATCGGTTCTTGAACCAGGGTGGGTTGAGTATGCTCTTCAATCACTGGCTTATCATCATCTGTGTTGGTCTGAGCTTCACTTGGCTCAGCTTTGGGAACCACCTCCTCTTGTGTGCAGGATCCATTTTCGCTGTTTGCGTTGGATGTCTTCTTCTCTTCATTTGTTCCATCTGATACGACTGGCTGCTCTTGATTTGCATTCGACAAGCTGGGTTTTTCTTCATTTGTTGCCTTGGAAGAAGTTGTTTTGCGCCCCTTTGTTGCATTAGCTAAAGAGGCCTTTTCAGATGGTAGGGTGGGAAGAGACTTGCGTTCTGGCTTCCTTGGTTGCACAGCAGGTCCTTTTGCGGAATTCTTGGAAACTTTCTCGTCAAGACTTAGCCTGCCGGATTGGTTGGTGGGGTTACTACTTCCTTCAGATTCCGTGGGAGGTAAGCTCTTTCTGCGTCCGAGCTTAGGAGATTTAGCCCTTGTTGTTGGTATCTGCAAGCAAAGCAAAAGGAAATGAAGGCCAATGAGAATTGAACAGCATAAAAACCTCGTGTAAACTGACTCAAAAACCAAACCACTAAAAGAATAACAGCTAGCATATTCTAGAAAACTGGAATCACAATGCCGTTCTGTTTCTACCAGCACATGGTTTTTTAACCGTAGATTGGTCAAACCCTAACATGAACTGAGAAGATATATCCTCACAAGTTGCCTCGAGTAGCAATCATCATATACATATTTATTCTTTGCACACATCGAGCAAGCCATCATAGGAAGAGAAACATATTGATTTAGGCTTGGTACCACTTTTGAAGACTAGTTATTCACTTGCACCACTTTCATGTGTATATTGGGCTTAAATTTTTCACAGAATTTGTATACTCGAATACCAACTCTCCAAAAACTCTCCAAACGTGGTATTCCATTGATCCACCCTAATTTAATATCACAGAGCAACAGCTAAAGGGGAAAAAAAGTCATTGTGCAATTTAAATCACTATATGGCTATTAAATTCTTGCAGACTGGGCAAATGAGGATAACTTGGTTTTTAAAAGCAAACCAAATTGAGGAAAATTCACATCAGGAAATACGCCTAAATCCTAAAGCCAGAAGTCAAATCATAGAAAAAAAATAAAGTATCTGAACGGATGTGTGCTGCGTGCCAAAAAGATGGTTTGAGAGAAGGAAATTAATTATCAGTGACAGCAAGAAAGAGCAAAGAAACATTTAAACGACAGTTCAGGAACCAAAAGGCTATGCAATGGATAGCTATAACGACATCAACACCCTCTGTGATTTGACACAACATCACAACCATATGGATTATAATTGGTTTACATATTCACTATATAACTGCCATGCTCTATGCTATCCAACCCAAAAAGAGGCGTGCAAACAAAAAATGAATTGATAAAAAAATTTAATTTATCAATAAATACTAATACATTAGTCAACGGCTTACTTTCTTTAACTCCACCTTAGGCGGTGGAGGCTCCTGATAGAAGCTTGGCATTGGAGTTGCTTTAAAGGCCAAACTCTTTCTCAGCAACTTAATTTCTGCTTCTTGAGTTTCCTGTTAAAAATAATTTCAACACGGTTAAAAGGAATAGGAGTATATAAACAAATTAACATCCACAACAAAGACTCAATGAGATTATTACCTTGGACTTCGCTTGCAAATTAGTCTGCTCCATTTCCTTTGCATGAATCTTCTCCCCCAGTTTAGTGTAAAACTGCCGATATGACAGCAAAAACTTCGATAAAACGGCTTTACATAAACTGCTAAAAAAAGGACAATATGGGTTGGAAGCACAAGACAAACCTCTCTCCTCTTTTCAGCTCGTTCATCACACTTAAAACTGAAACCATAATTTGGAAGCATAGCCACCCTAGGAGGTTTGGCCTCTCCTGCTGTAGGACTTCTTGAAAGCAGTTAAGAATAAACTGACAGATTAAACAATTATAAACATAATTACACGGGTAGGAAACACAGCTACCAACCACTACAGCCAATAGAAAAAGACAACAGATACATATTATCATAAATCAATTATTGAAAGGATACGAAGAAGATTTTGTATCAGCCTCCACTTCAGCTTTATTAACAGGTTCTTTCTTCAAAGGCTTCAGCTTCAGTTTATCCCTGTGAAAATGAACTCACAGTCAACTTGGCTAGCAAAATTCAAGCGACAGAGAGCAAAAGAAAGAGTATCACTCAACAAAATAAATACTGAAAAAAAAAGAAGGAATGTTGAGATATTCCAAAAAGTGCCGATGCTCAATTGAAAGAAAGAGCAATCAACTAAATATTGTGTAAACGAATAGACAAAACATAAGAACAAACAAAAAGTATAATCAATACTCACGTATTTCCCTCGGTCGCTGCTGCCTCAGGCTTCACAGGTTGCTGACGGAAGCATAAAAACAATGAAAACAATATCAGTTACCAAAATGATAGTGAGAGAAAAAACTAAATGAGTGGTGTGGTCCCATCATATGATCAACAAACTGCAAGCAGCAAATGAGAAAATTCAATGCTACAATATCAACTTCGATAAAAAAAAATGACAGAACCTTTCGGTCATTAAATGATTTGCTTTTAATTGTTTTTCTTGGCTGTGAATTTGAAGCAACAGAACCGTTTGGAATAGTAGATATTGCCTCCACCGCCTTTCCATCTTTGTTCTTCTTCAACGAACTTCCCAAATCATTTTTGGTGCTAGAGGGTTTCCCATTCTTGCTCGTACCTAAACCCTTTTGTGATTTGGGCTGCTTCGATTGATCAGAGACTTTTGCTTCCCCTTCCTACAATGCAGTCACGCAGAAAGGATTAGAATCTGATTTGGGGGGGAGTTAGGGTGGGGTGTGAAGAAGGGGGCACTTCCTAACCTTTGCAACAGTCAGACCATTGCTGGCAATGGAGTTAATTGATTCCTCTTTCACTTCCTCAGAAGATGAGTTCTTGGCTATACCATCATCCAAATGGGCAACAACTTTTGCATTCCCATTTGGCACTGCAGTCTCATTACTTTTAATGGAAGGCACATTAACATTGTCTGAAATAACAAAATCTTCTACAGTGGCGGGAGTTTGCTCATAAGCACCATTTTGATGGGCCACCTCATACCCATCAGTCAACACTACATTATCTGAATCCATTACACAAAGGAAACTACAAAACAAACATGACGTAAAGCAAGTTATACAAATGAGTAAAAACCATTAACATAAAACTTCAAATCACCCCCCAAGAAAGCCACATAAATCTCAGAATTCAAGTGCAAGTATGTATTTGTAGATTTGCAAAGCTTTTGCCTCATAATATTCGCATAAGCGAATAGTTAAAAATACACTTTCAGCATACTTTTAATAACACAAAACAAAAGCCAAGGCTAAAACTTTAATTCCGTTCTCTCATGTTTCTCGGGTACCAAACGCAGTACAAGAAAGCCCAGACGCAATCTCACTTAGTCATCGAATCAATTGAGACACGAAATTTGACAAGAAAAGCAAGAGAGACAAGACAGACAAAAGCACAAGAGATAAAATCAAATCAATGGACACAAACATGTCTCATTCCCAAAATACAACAAGATTTAACTGTAAAAAAGAAAGAGAACAAAAATCAAACGAAACAATTTCCGCGTCAACCACGAAACATATCACCTGAATACAAAAATCTAACACTTCGCAAAGATCCGCTAGAACGAAAGACAATGCAAGAAACATTAAAGAGAATCGAGATTCACTTCGATTTGCGAGAGAAATGCACGAAAATAACAAACGAAAAATAAAAAACTTCAAACCGAGGCTTTCGTTCAGAGAACACAAGAAATCGCAAGATGCGATAGTTCAATCTCATTTTTTGTTATCTTTCCTATATTCTTCCGTTTTCTCAGTATCCAAACACATATTGAGAAACTTCAAAAGGAAAACCTACTCACCTCGAGAAGCGCGCAAACAATCAGAACTTCATTAGCTCCGATTCAACCGAGTAGATACGCCGAGGACTTCGAAGGATCTGAGAGAGAGAGAGAGAGAGAGAGAGAGAGAGCAAGAGAGTGATAATGAGGAGAGACAAAGCGGATCGGAGGATCCGAACCCTAAAAGGCAAGAAGATCTTTCGGATCCAAGAACCACGAAAATTCTTTTTTTTTTTTTTTTTTTTTTTTTTGAAATTTGAAAAACTGTGAAACTGAGAAGGTTATGAATGGCGAGAGCACTTTATACCAGTGGATGATTTGAAATCCATTTTCAAGGTCAGGACTCAGGAGGTGCAAATGTAAAAAGAAAGAGAAAGAGCGGCTTATTAGATAAAGATATACGGTTTTACGGTTTAACTAACGGTGGTCACTCCTGCACCGGAATTTAACCGTTCTAATAAACAAAAGTGAAAAAATGAAATTTTGAAAAAAAAGGAAATAATTTATCACTTTCATTCATTATTGCATATGCCTACCCTTATAATTCTTAAAACTTTGGAATGAGTACTTTTCTTCTAACTATCCTCTCGATAATAACCCACCGTACACTTATATTTTTCATAGTTTCTTTTTTTTTCCCCATTAGTTACAATAATTCACCTCAATTATAGTCATTATAATAATATGCCACGTGATCCTCAAAATGTAACATTTATTCGTCTTGTATATGAAATTTTAACTGAAAAATTGCTTATGTTAAGATTTTTAACGGAAATGGATACATAATTGGCTTGTAATAAATAACTTAAGGGTATTTTGGTGACTTTATTATGTTAAAATCTAATTTCTTAGAAATCTGTATTAAATGAGATTTTTTTTTAGAAAAGAGAAAAATACATTTTTAGAGTGCATGAATCTAAAATTTTACTCTTTACTTTTAATTAATATTCTTTTAATTAAATAATTATATTAGTAAAAAATATATTAATAAAAAATAAAAAATTTAAATTAAGATCCATACATTTTTAAAAATGAGTTCAGTAATTCTCTCAAATTCCTTTTTTAAGGACAAAATAAAGTTGTTAATTTTTGGCTTTTTGTAAATAAAAAAAAAGAAAAAAAAGGGAAAATGGAGCTCCTATGGTATTTATTGAAGACATAAGCTATGCGTGGTGCTATGTCTTATTAACAAATAGTACCGTTTTTCAAAAAAAAAAAATGATACTGTTTAAATAATATCGTTGATCACTTAGTAATGGTCACTTACTAAGTTCAACATTGTGCCAAAAACGTAGGTCGTGTTTGGAATTAATCCCGTTTTTATTTTTTATATTTTTTGAAAAAAAATAAAAACGTTTTCAAAACGACGTTTGGCATAATAAAGACAAAAAACAGAAATGAAAATGATTTTTTGGTTTAGTGTAAAATAAGAGATAAATAAAAAACTACTTTTAGTCGTTTTTCATTTTTTATTTTTATTTTCTCCTCTCTCGAGCAGAGAGAGAAAGAGAGACATTAATGGGTTTTTTTATACTAAAAATAATCTCTTGATAAAACTACTAAACACATTTTTAAAATTATTTTTTGTCTGAGATTGAAAAAGTTTTCATTTTTATTTTCATATAAAAACTAAAATCATTTTAAAACGAGTTCTAAACGCGCCTGTAGATATTTACCCTTCCCCTAAAAAAAAAAATTTTTTTTTTGAAGAAGTCAACTTAAAGTGATATGGCATATGAATATATGCGTTATTTTATATTTTACATGTAATAACAAACATAAAAAGGAATTTTATATTTTACATGTACAAACTAACATGGAAAGGAAATCCAAATATATAATTTGGGGCAAGGAAATCCAAATAAACACTGTGTGTCCATGTCGTCTAAAAGCATAAAAAAAAAAAGAGAGATAATTTATCTATTTACTAAATTGTTTTTAACTTTAAATAAGTTCCCTGAAAAGCTGTTTCAATGAAATACCATCTTTGAAAAAAAAAAAAAAAACACGCATTTGCAGAAGAGATAATAAAATGGCAATAATATACTCCTTCCTAAGAAATTCACATGAGCACTAAATAAATATTCAAGCGTGGCACGGTACCTAAAACACGCGATACGGTGCTACTATATAAATACTGTTGTTGTTATTATTATTATTATTATTATTATTATTATTTTGTTATTGTTGTTATTTGAAACAAGCGATTCTATACTTAGTGTATTTTTTTATTAATTTATAAGGTATAAATAAGTTACTAATTTTTTTTATACGAGAACTTTCTATAGGTATTTACTAATTTAAAATGATATAATATTTATTAGCAAAAAAAAATGACATTATGCTAAAACAAAATAAATGTTAAGCTTTATTTATGGCCCGTTTGACATTATTTTTAAATGCTACTTTTAGTTTTTTTTAAGAATTTATATATGTTTTTGTCCAGCAGCTTCTAAAACTATTGTCCCACAGTAAAATTTGAGAAGTTGTGTTTTTACAACAGCTTTTACTGTCATTATCTAAATTTACTAAAATGACCATAATAATAAAACTTAATTCCTAATCAACTCATTTTATCTAATTTTACTTTTTACTTTTAATTAATATTCTTTTAATTAAATAATTATATTAGTACAAAATATATTAATAAAAAATAAAAAATTTAAATTAAGATCCATACATTTTTAAAATGAGTTCAGTAATTCTCTCAAATTCCTTTTTTAAGGACAAAATAAAGTTGTTAATTTTTGGCTTTTTGTAAATAAAAAAAAAGAAAAAAAAGGGAAAATGGAGCTCCTATGGTATTTATTGAAGACATAAGCTATGCGTGGTGCTATGTCTTATTAACAAATAGTACCGTTTTTCAAAAAAAAAAATGATACTGTTTAAATAATATCGTTGATCACTTAGTAATGGTCACTTACTAAGTTCAACATTGTGCCAAAAACGTAGGTCGTGTTTGGAATTAATCCCGTTTTTATTTTTTATATTTTTTGAGAAAAAATAAAAACGTTTTCAAAACGACGTTTGGCATAATAAAGACAAAAAACAGAAATGAAAATGATTTTTTGGTTTAGTGTAAAATAAGAGATAAATAAAAAACTACTTTTAGTCGTTTTTCATTTTTTATTTTTATTTTCTCCTCTCTCGAGCAGAGAGAGAAAGAGAGACATTAATGGGTTTTTTTATACTAAAAATAATCTCTTGATAAAACTACTAAACACATTTTTAAAATTATTTTTTGTCTGAGATTGAAAAAGTTTTCATTTTTATTTTCATACAAAAACTAAAATAATTTTAAAACGAGTTCTAAACGCGCCTGTAGATATTTACCCTTCCCCTCAAAAAAAAAAAATTTTTTTTGAAGAAGTCAACTTAAAGTGATATGGCATATGAATATATGC